AAAAATGGTACTGGTAAAAATTAAAAAGTTCCTGGAAAATTTTTGACGGGGATTGCCACGTTGCGCCCATGCTAAAATTTTGATTTGGCAGTACTATTTGTTAGGGTTTCACTCTCAGCTACCACCATAACAAATTTCAGCTCAACATGGAGAAAAATATATGAATTATTCTCATTTTCTTCTTTTATGCTATGGTGACCATCTTGGATTTTTTTTATTTGGATTCAGCATGTGATGGGGAACTTTCTCAGCTATAATCACACGAAAATTCACCTCTATAACAACGGCTGAGTTAAATCCATATAAATTTAGCTTTGGTGGACATCTTGGATGTTTTATTTGAATTCAGTATTTACTGGGCATTGCTCTCAGCTACCACCACACTAAATTTAAGCCTAATATCTCTAAAATGTTAGACTGATTGTATTTTGATGCATGCTCAATAATCCAGGTAGAAAAATCTATAAAAGTTAAATCTGGTCCTCTGGACATTCAATAAACAAAACAAAGCAAAACAACAACAAAAATGTAGAAATGTTTCGTCTTTCATCCGAAAGACTTCCTCAGTCTGAGGTGCTGTATTCAGCTCAGTCTTATAAATAGCACCTCCTCAGAGTGGATCAACCAGTTTTGCTGCTAACAATCAAAAACAGCTGCTCACCAGCTGCATGGTCCTCCTTGATAATGTGAGCAGCTGGTTTTGGTTGTCAGCAGCAAAACTGGTTGATCCACTCTGAGAAGGTGCTATTTATAAGACTGAGCTGAATACAGCGCCTCAGACTGAGGAAGTCTTTCGTATGAAAGACGAAACGTTTCTACAGTTTTTTGTTGTTTTGTTTTGTTTTGTTTTTTTGAATGTCCAGAGGACCAGATTTAACTTTTTTACGTTAGACTGATTGATAACTCTAAATTGTCCCTAGGTGTGAGTGAGAGAGTGAATGGTTGTTTGTCTCGTTTGTCTCTATGTGGCCCTGTGATGGGCTTGCCACTTGTCCAGGGTTTACCCCGCCTCTCACACAGTGATTGCTGGACATGGGCACCAGCGACCCCCGTGACCCAAAATGGAAGAAGCGGGTAAAAGATGGATGGATCTCTAAAATGGCTGATGTATAATATTTTTCCTTTTTAGCTCCTGTGACCATTTGTTTTGTTTTTTTATTTTCTTTCATTCTATTAGGGATTGTTCTCAACTACCAATACACGAAATTTCAGCTAAATAGCTTTAAAAATGGCAGTAATTGTCACGACCGGTAGTGGGTGAAACCCAAATGCAAGCAGAACTCCAGCAAGTCACAAAAAAAGCTATTTATTTACAAAAAGGAAAACAAACATAAAATGCTGATGGGGTAGTGATAACTTCTTACAATTCGTAGGAAATATTCATAATACCAGGACACTAGGAGACGGCCGTGAAGGTGCAGCATGACACTTAATGCTCCCCTGTCTGAGACGCAGGAGAGCTCAGTATATGAATGGGAGACATAAGTTATCCCAAATACAAAGCACCTGGAGAGTAACTAATTATATGTGCATGGCCGGGCAGGTGCAGATCCCTACAATATTTGCTCTCTAATGAACGGCTCCTGGCTTTCTAAAATATCCCAACCCAATTTGGGTGGGCGGTGGGGGGAAAAAACTAAAGGTCGGAGGTCACCAAAATAATCAAACTAGGAGTGGCCCTGAGTACATGCATGGTAACAAAAGTTTGGGTGGCCGTCCTGAAGACAATCCAGACCACTGGCCAAGTTCAAGTGGGCGGCCGGGAGACCGTCCATTGCCAGGGCAGAATCCAGGTGGGCATCTGGAAGAACGTCCATTGCCAGGGCAGAATCCAGGCGGGCAGCTGGAAGACCGTCCATTGCCAGGGCAGAGTTCTGCAACAGACGTGTAGGCTGAAGAGACTGCAGATTAGAGACCAAAGAGGTTGCAACTGACGTAGAAACCATAGGTTCTGGCGTAGGGGCCGAACGGCAGCCAGCATAGGAACATAGAAGCGGAAGCCTGCGTAGGAACCACAGGAGCGGCAGCCGGCACAATGACCACAGGAGCAGCTGCCGGTGCAAGGAACACAGGTGCAGCTGGCCACATGGAGACTTCTGAGGATGTGGAACCCTCCGAGGACGTGGACTCAGCAGGAACTGCTGGAGGTGTAAAAACTACTGAATGTGGTAGGCATAGAAACCTCCACAGGGGCTGCAGGCGTGAGGACCACTGGCAGCAGAGCAGGAGGCTCAGTGGTTTCAGCCCTGCCAAAGTGCGCCAGAACCTCAGGGGGGTCAATCTCGGTCATCTTCCTCTGGGCATAGACAAGGATCTTCCGGTAAAAAGGTGTATAGAGCATCTCAGGTCAGGATATTAAGGTTCCCAGGATCTCGTTAAAGTTGAACATTCTTGTGTAGAGCAAGTCCGCACGAGTAGCACAGAGAATAATTATTAGTCCACAAATGTGTGGATGATTCACCTGATCCTTCAGTGGTGGTAGATCAGGAGCCCAATTCACCATCACAGGAGCAGGAAACACGGCTGGTGTGGAGGCCGTCATGGAGCACGCTGGGTAAAAGGGTGGTGATCTCCTGCAAACTCCATTCTCTCTCGGTGCGCAGTCCTCTCAGCTTTCTTTGAAAAACACTCAAAAAGGAAGACTGCTTGCTGTGTTTCTTTCAGGGGAGCATTTTGACATTATCGGTAGTGGGTGAAACCCAAATGCAAGCAGAACTCCAGCGAAGTCACAAAAAAGTTATTTATTTACAAAAATGAAAACGACAAACATAAATTGATGATGGGGCAGCAATACTACTTACAACTCATAAGAAATACTCATAATATCAGGACACTAGGTGACAACCTTGAAGGTGCAGCATAAAGGCTGCAGTATACTGCCACGTATGTCCATTCACGCGTACATACGCGTGTACGGTACGCAGAGGGTTCAGACATGATACTCCAGCGTACACCCTGAGCGGCTGCAGAGCAGCTTCACAGACAAGGGGCGTTTACCTTCGGGACAAATTGAGGTCGCCGATTGGTCATTTGCTGACACGCCTACTTGATTGATTGACAGGTCGGAAAAAAGAAAAAAAAACGGCCCCCAGTATACTGCCGCGTACATCCATACGCAGAGGTACGCACTTATGTACGCAGAGGTACGAGCGTACCCCCCAGGGCATGTCCGTGCAAAGCTCAAATTTTTCCGACATACATACACGTACGCGGTGTCGCACAATAAACTGCCCAGCGACGGACTGTTTTGTATGCGACACCAATGTATTAAATTCCCCTTCTTCATCTTTGATCTGGTCTTTTCTTTTGTTTTGTTTTTTTGCCAAGATGCAGTGATCTCTTCCTCCTCCGTTGATGCCATGACTGAAATGGTGAGAAATGGAGGAATTTGTCACGAGCGAATTAAACTCAGGTCCAGCTTGGCTGCGGGAGGGTCTGGAGATTTCCTGGTGGGCTGTAGAGCCAGCGCTCTCTGTTTTTATTAATTTTTTAGATATTTTTATTAACAACATATAAACACAGAACACCGCTGCGGCTGAGGCTGCCAGCGCTCGCTTTTTTTCTTTTTTCTGACCTGTCAATCAATCCAGTAGGTGTGTTAGCAAATGACCAATCGGCGACCTCAATTTGTCCCGAAGGTAAACGCCCCTTGTCTGTGAACTGCTCTGCAGCCGCTCAGGGTGTACGCTGGAGTAACATGTCTGAACCCTCTGCGTACCGTACACGCGTACGTACGCGTGAACGGACATACGTGGCATTATACTGGAGCCTTTAATGCTCCTCTGCCTGAGACATAGGAGAGCTCAGTAAATAAAAGGGATATGTTAATTAACCCAAATACAAACCGCCTGGAGCGTAATTAATTATGTGTGCAAGGCCGGTCAGGCGCAGATCCCTACAGTTATACATAAATGAGCTTTTGTGGCCATTTGAATTTTTAGATTAGAATTCAGAGTATATTGTACATCTCTGTCAGGTACCATCACACCAAATTTCAGCTCAGTATATTTTAAAATATCTTGCTGTATGCTCAGTATTCCAGGTAGAAAAATCTAAAAAAAAATTAAGTCAGGTCCTCTGGACGGATTATTCTTGTTCAAACGTTTCATCCTTTATCCAAAATACTTTGTCAGTCTGAGACTTTACAATAAACTCAGTCTTATAAATAGTACCTTCTCATAGGGGCCATTTACACGGCACATATTTTGAGTGAATCCGCACCTTACTCTCTGCAGTTCTGCTGTTCATTTACACAACACTAGTAGCACCCCTCTTTCAATCCGGAGGTTTCTCAACCCACCTCCCAGAGTGGAGGTTTTTGGCTGACCGCCCGCTGATCATATAAACATCTCCCGCTGAAGTTTTGTGTTAAACCACATGCACACATGCACGCACGGACAGACGGCATATTTCTATCAACAATAATGGCACCAGAGTATAACATATTGCTTTATGAGCTATGACTGAAAGAATATATTTAGAATCTGGTAGTTACTCTACGCCAGAATGTAGCTGCTGTGACCCACATCTGTACTGGGAAGAGACACAGCTGGATCCAATTCTAATATTGTGGTTTACTGGACGAGGAAGGCATATATTTCACACGTTGTGCTGCACTATAACACACTAAATGTACTAAATTAAAACAGTTTAACAGTAATAAACAGTATTCATGTTAGTGTGGGAGATATATAATGAAGTTATGTGAGCTAAATGAAGCTATCTGGACATTATGTAATTCAAGTTATGTGATTTAGACGATGCAAAACACATTGCATGTTATTAAAGTTGAAAATGAAGACATCAGGTTTATTTTTTATTTATTTATTCAACACCACAAACTGTATGTCACACAAACATTAATAATTAAACTGCACACTATTAAAAACACGTTAACCGAACTGTAAACTATATGAACTGGACTCTGCTCTCTGTTTTCATCCTGGGTACATGTTGTTCATCTGGCTTGTTCAGGCCGTCACTCCTTTGCTTAATGTAGCTTAAAATATTCAATGGATCGAATAAAAGAACTGAGGAAATTTTTTAAATAAATAGTTCATCCAGCATCTCTCTCTTCGACATCCTCCTGGGCCGAGGCTCATTCGGAAACGGTCCATCTCTGGTGGGAGAGCAGATTCTCCTTGCAGGAAAAATAAAAATAGAAACTCATTTGGTTGTTCACAAAAAAGGTTGAATCATGTCATCTGGACTTCGTTTTTTTTTTGTTAAAAAGAAACGTTTCGCCCCTCATCCAAGAGGCTTCGTCAGTCTGAGGCCTAGCCATCTGGTATTACCCAGAAGCCACCCTGACTC